GTCCTATAGCATTTTCAGTCTGCACTATATGATGTGAACAATATATAGTTATAATATATAATAGCATTATATAGTTATGATATTATGCAATAGCATTATATAGTTATAATATTATACAATAATTGTATAGTTATAGACATCAGCACTTTGATGGATCTATTAGCCTATCAGTGCTGGCATTCCCTCCACTGGTGTTGATGGTAATGATATCATTACCCACCTATAGCTTCTCTCCCTACATGCCTTTTATCTCTGTCCCATGAATCTTCATAGAGGATTACACTACGAGGTGAATGCCTTTCAATATTCCATAGTTACTACTATGACCAACAAAATGAAACAAAAAATAATCACTTAATAATATGCTATCCCAAAGTGTTATCTAATTGTTTCTGGATATCATCTCCTCGAACTCCCTGAGGACAGGAGATGTTACTCCTTTTGAATCTCCCGTGGGCCAATCATAGGATTTAGCACATAACATAGCCTCAGTGAATAGTTATTTATTATAATTATTTTCCTAACTATAGTGGAAAAATATAGGATTTTAAATCAAAGGACTTAAGTTTGAATTTTTGCTCTATCATTACCTTGGGATAGTCACTTACTATTTCAAGGCCTTACTTCCCTCATTAGTCAACTTATGTTATACTAGATGACCTCAAAGGTTATGTTCAACTCTAAATCCTATGATCCCTTGAACTTCCATTGCCTAGAGAATGTGGAAGATAAGAGTGAGATGTCCAGGGAGGAGTACCATCTTATAGTTAGAAATTCTTCATCCAAGGGTAGGGGTGAATTCTTAAACAATCAAAAGAGGCAATAGAAAAAAAAATAAAATAGATAAATTTGATTACATGAAGTCGAAATATTTTGCACAAACAAAATTAGTTCATCTAGGATAAGAAGGGAAGTAAGTGACTGGGAAGAAAAATCTTTGTATCAAAATCCTCTGATAAGGGTTTGAGATCCAAGATTTATAGACAAGTGACAGAAGTGTATAAATCCAAAAGATATCTCCCAACAGAGAAGGGGCAAAGGGATATGAACAAATAACTTTCAAAATAAGAATAGCAAGCTATTAAAAAAAACTTAGTCACTAATCATAAAACCAATGCAAATCAAAACAATCCTGAGGTTTTACTTTGCACCTGAAAAATTAGCAAAGATGACAAAAGATGAGAATAGTCATTGTTGGAGGGGCTGTAGAAAGACAGGCACACCATATTATAATATAATGCATTTTTGGTAGTTGTGTGAATTGCTACAACCATTCTAGAAAACAATTAGGAATTATGCAAAAAGGTGACTAAAACATCCATAGCTTTCACCTAGAGATTCCACTGCTAGGTACAGACACTAAGGAGGTCAATGACAAAAAAAGAAAGTCTCTATATATTTCAAAATGATTATAGCAGCACTTTTGTGGTAGTAAAGACCAGAAAACTAAGTAGATGCCATTGAAAAATATAAATATGATGATTTAGAGAGGCATGGAAAGACTTATATGAACTGATGCAAAGTGAGATAAATAGGACAAAGTAAATATACACAATGACTTCAACAATGTAAATGAAAAAGAACAATCACAAAATAATCAAAGTTGAATATTGCAAAATTATAATGATCAAGCTTGGTCTGAAAAAAGAGATATGAGAAAACATCTCCCCTTGCTTCTTTGCATAGGTGGGATTCTACAAATGTGGAACATTGCATATAATGTCAGACTTCTTAGGTGTGTTGATTTCTTTTGCTACTTTTTTCTCTTCCTTTTTAAAAGTCTTTATGATAAAGGATAGCTCTCTCAGGAGAGGAAGAGAGAGAAAGAGAGGGATTCAAAGGGAAATGTGGGTGATATAAGAATAAAAGATATCAATAAAATCTATTTTAAAGAAGATAATATCAAAAAATAACTGCCCAGATGAATAATTCACAAAAGTGAAAAATTGAGACTATTGATGCAGGGGAGCATAGTTGGAGTATAGAATTCAGAAGGAAAGTTTATTCCCTCTTCTCACCCCTTGTCCACTCTCCCCATACAAATTTCAAGGTATGGTTCAGGTCCTCATGACTGGGATGACAAAGATGATAGGCAGAAGATGCATAGGTACACTCAGCATGAGCTGGGGAAAACTGCCCTGTGGTTCCTGCCCTAGAGAGGAGAAAACAGCAATGCCCAAGACCCTGGATATTCAACCTCAAGATCTGGCCTCTTGGGGACAGTGTCAGTTTTAGGTGGCCATCCCTAGAAGGGAAAGTTAAGGACATGTCAACATCCTTGCTTTTAGCAGGAAGTCCTTGAAGCCTTGTGCTATGTGGTTAGCTATTTGGAAAAACAAAGATTAAATTCATTGGCTCCCTAGACTACCCTGACCTAGGAACAGAGCTTGGCTTCTTTTCACTGCTTTGAAAATAGATATGCAAGGGAGGGTGCTCAAGAGGACAACCATAATGGGAAGAGAGGAAGGAGAAAAGGACAATGGAGGGATTCACAGATGGAAGAATCTGAGAACTCTCTCTCCTCAGGATATGATCGTCTCCCTGGGAGCCCCCAAATTAAAAGGCAAGAATTTCCTCAGTGAGAGAATTTGAGGTGGAGACTTTGAAAAGGTCAGTTTTGTACTCAGGGCACATGGGTCTCCTCTCTTTGAAAAGCCTTCTGTTCCTTGCCCCATGCCTACCCCAGATCCTGGTGACACCATCTAGAAGAGGATCCGGTATGACCTTCTGAGCTTGGAGTCAAAGCTTGCCTCTTGTCCAGAAGCTTGAAGAGTGAATATTGCATAAGAGACAATTTATTGAACCTCAAGTCAGGAAAACTAGTTTTGGGTCTCCATTTTGCTACTTGCAAACTGTGTGACCTTCAGTAAAACACTTAATCTCTAAGTTTAAGTTTCTTCCCCTACAAAATGAGGTTAATGATCCTTTCTTCATCTCTAGGGGATTACATTATATTTTCTTCAACATTTCCTCACTTAGGAGCTTCTTCTTACTAAAGAAAAGAGAATAAATAGTAATGCCATAAAATTGTGTTACATGAATGAAATGGAATATTATTGTGCCAAAAAATGACAAACATGATGATTCAAAATAACTTGGGAAGACTTGTATGAACCAAGTGAAATGAGCAGAACCAGGAGAGAACTTGACACAATAATATAATATAAATAATAATATATAATAATTATTATATATATAATAATATAAAAGGAAGGTAGCTTTGAAAGACTGATCAATTGAGTGACCAATCATGACTTCAGAATTCTGTTAATGAAGCATGCCTCTCATATCTTTTCAGACAGATGGTGAACTAGAGGTGTAGAATGAGATGTACACTATCAAATATGGTCAGCATGTTGATTTGTTTTACTTGCCTATACATATTTGTTATGACAGAGCTTTGATTTTGGGAGGAGTGGGTTATGCAATAATGCAATAAATAGAGAAAGAAACAGGAGGGAGAGGGGGAGGGAGAGAGGAAGGATGGAGAGAGGGAAAAAAAGAAACATAAAGAAAACATTAAAAAATACACAGAATGAAACAAAAAGAAATCCACAGAAGGTGTCACAAAAAGGCAATTTGTCATTGAGGTGTTAAACTTCATATATATTCTATTAAAAAAGAAATTGTATACAACAGAAGCTTGTCATTTCCTATACAAGCCTTTTTTGTATTTATTTTCATATTGAAATGTTTGTTGATATTTAAATTCATAACAAAAAATTAAATCAAATCAAACAAAGATAGTCTAGGTAGTAAAGTTCTGATTCCCAAACTGTGTCTTGCATAGGGTCAGGTTTATGGCAAGTGTTTGATACATGCAGCTTGCATAGGATAGTATTCTCCTTGAGTTCCCCTCCTCCCAGGCAATACTACATTCACCAGTGATGCTAGCACTGATTTTAATCATCCTTCCTCACCCTCAGCTTAAATTTTCATTTTGAAGCTTGCAGCTGGAAAATCCAATTCTGGCTTTTTGACGTTGGATAAAATTAAACTTTACATCAAATTTAACTAGCACTGTTGTGTAGACAGGCTGAAGTCAGCATCCAACCCCAGCGCTGTTCCTAGGCAGACAGACAGAACCCTGGTTTATGAGCAGGCAGTCAAGTCCTGCTCATAAAGCAAACATTATGCATGAATTCATCCATGCTCTACCTCTGGAGACAACTTCAGTGAAAACTCGATTCACTCATCCCCATTCCAAATGCATTGAAGGCTGCCCACGAAAATGAGGCTGCCCTGATTATTTGACATTTATCACAGAATCCAATCCTGGATCTCTGTCTACTCCACTGGCCCTGAAAATGTATAGTCAACACTGCCTTGGATCAGGGTTAGGTACAACTGAGTCTTTTTGCCAATTCCCTATTGAGCTGGATGCCAGGGATGATGATGCAGTGGAAACAGTACTGAATTTAGAGTCCTTGGTTTGATACCCACCTCTAATATGTATGACCTTGGGCAAGCGATTTCACACCTCCCCCACCCCACCCACACCCCAGGCCTCAGTTTTGCCATCTGTAAATTGGAGTTAGACTAAAATTCTTCTAAGGTCCCTTCCACACATAAATCTATGATTGTGTGATAGTGACTGAGGTAACCCAGAGGCTTAAAGTTTACACCTTCACAATCTAACCCCAGAGAGAAAAGTCATATCTTCTAAACCAGGGAAAAATAATTTGTCTCATTTGACTTCAAAAGGCAACACTGAGGCCAATGGGTAGAAATTAAAAGAAGACAAATTTTGGCTTAATATGAGCAAGAACTTTTCTAACAGCAAGAGCTAACAGTTAGGCATTTAACAGAGATGCTATGGAATGTCCTGAGCTTTCTGTCATTGGAAGTTTTTAAGCATAGACTAAATAACCAACTGCCTGTCAGGATACACAGGAGATTCCTACAAGAGAGGAAATAAATCTAGATGATTTCTAAGGTTCTTTCTCATACTGAGATTCTGTGATTCTAGGATGGTCTGAGTCTGTGATTCTATTGCTTACCTAGGCTGGGTCCTTGTCCATGGATGAGGTCCAACACTGAGGCCCAGACCAGCCAGATGCAGATGCATACCTGGGCTGTCATGGCACTCTGGGCCTGGAGAAAGAGACAGGAGAAGATAGCAACTGCACATCTGTTTTGTGTCATCTCTCAGCCAAAAATCCCACTGCAAGTATGTGAAGTCATCACCTCCTTCAAATTTCATGCCTTGGAGGGGGGTGGGGATCTTGACCAATGACTCCTTTGCTTGACTCCAAAGACTGATCTCCTGGAAGACGCATAGCCAGCTGAGGAAAAAGTTGCTCCGTTCTGCCTCCAACCATTCTCAAAAGACACCAATGCTTTGGGATATTCTTACCTTTTTGGAGGCTACTATTGTAGAAGCTAGACTGTCAGGTTCATCTAGATATCAGTTAGTCCCTCTTCCTGTCTCTAGGCAGGATGAAAACAATATCTTTCTTTCTTCTCTTCCTCTCACCCTCTAATTACTAGCATCTTTGTCTGCCTATCCCCAGGCCCAAGCACAAAGACACAGATCCCAAGAGGCTAGCCAGCTCTCAGGATGTAATCTCCCAGATAGAGCCTTTTCTTTTCTGCCTCTGGGGAAGAATGGTGTAAGGGGTGAGTTTTCTAATTATCAGGAAGTCATATTTATGGTCTTCTATCCCTTGGTGCTAGAGAGGGTTCAATGGGTAAGAGGGAAATTTTTCCTTTGATACTCATACACCTAGGACAGGTAAACCCCTGACCTTGCTTGAGAGTGGAGATGTGCAAAGGAGAGTACAAGTCCTGAAGTTGCTTGGGTGGGATGGGCAGGAAGAGGATTTAGCAGTTAGAGGCAAACAGAACAACCCACTAAAAGATAAAAGCACCATGGCTTTCAATAGTGCCTATTTTCAGTGAGTCAACCTTTATAGATTCTGTGCTCATGAATGTCCTTGGAATTTCTTCCTCCAGATTTGAAGGGAATTTGAGTTAGTGACTTCTTGATTATCCATTCATGAAAGAACCCCAGAGTGGGGTTACTGTTATAACTGTGAGAGTGAGGACCTTAATCCTAAAGGCTACAGTTACTCCTACCCTTAACTATTTAACTGTGAGAATTCAGGACCCTGCACTGCCTCATTCACAGCTTCCCTCAATTCACTATCCCCAGGGATCTCTTAGGCTAATCTGTCTGTTCCCAAAGTCGACACCCTCCTGTATCCCCTCCACATGCCCTCAGGAGCCTTGATCTAAGAAATGCCCAGCAGCATGCTATAGGATTGAATGAGTCTGTCCCAAAGGGGAGGTTTAGTCCCCAGTGACACACCCAAGCCTGTTTATAGATTCCCATCCTAATGTGAAGCCCTAAACACTTGACTTCCTTGGAAAGTGCTTTGCCTTTAAATGCACTTACGTATCTATGATCTCATTTTATCCTCACTAAGGACCTGTCAGATAAGTGCCATTATATCCATTGTACAAACTCAGAAAAGTTAGAACAGATATAATGATTATACAGAGTTGAAATTGGAACCCAGGCATCTGGAGTACCTGGGTCAAATGCTTTTCCCAGGGGGTCTACATGGTCTTCAATAAGCAGTCAGCCTTGCTAGTAACAGTTTCCTTCTGGGGCAGTCTTTTCTAAAATTTTACAAAAGTTTACAAAAGTTAAAAACTCCAAAAATTTAAATTTTATTCCTAATTTGCTGGGCACTTTTTGGTCTCTATGTCAATCTTAGTTGGAACATGCAACCAAAGTTACATGCTCTCTCATTCTGCCCAGGACAGCCTCTCAGAAGTTAACCTACCCACCCCACCCCACCCTCACCCCCACCCAACTCTGCCACCCTGAGAAAGTACCCTAAAGTACATGAGAATTGGGTTCCATCACAAACCTTCTCCTTCAAAGAAACTTCCTTGTAGACTGGTCCGAGAGGGAAGAGAAAGATGTGTCATCTACATTCCTGATCTCTGAGAAAGGAGGCAAATTCTAAAGCACTGCTGGTCTGGCCCCAGGGGACTTTATGAAAGTCCTTCAGAGGCTGTGACATCATTGCTGAAGCAGAATAGAATACCCATTCCCCCTCCCTTCTTGTTTTCCCTCCCCTTCTTTTCTTTTCCAGGCCTTTCTCTTCCCTTCTCCTCTCTTCTCTCCTCACTTCTCCTTTTCCTCTTCTCTTCTCCCTTCTTTTTCTTCTCCACATCTGTTTTCTTCTTTCCCTCCTCCCTTCTTTTTGCTCTCTTTCCTCAATCTCTTTTCCCCTCCTTTCTCTTTTCCTCTCTTCTCTCTTCCCTTTCCACTTCAGGCAAAAGATGGCAGACTCTGTTTCTCTGAAAGTCTCTAAAATAGAAGCTTTATGAGATGGAGGTAGAGGCTGTTGTCTAAGAACAATATCCAGTTTGAGGAAAATGGAGAAAAAGATCCTGAATTTTAAAAGTAAACAGCATTTTTTCATTTTTGACATTTTTCCCAATTACATGTAAAAACAATTTGGACCATTTTTTTTGAGGCATTCAGTATTAAGTGACTTGTCCAGAGTCACACTACTAGTAAGTGTCTGAGGCCACATTTGAACTCAGATCCTCCTGACTTCAGCGCCAGAGCTCTATCCGTTGTGCTACCTAGCTGCCCCTGAAAATTTTTAAAAATTTTAGTTTTTTTAACTTTTTAAAAACTTTAAAAAAAAATTTAGTTCTAAATTCTCTCCCTCTCTCCCCCTTTCCCACCTCATAGAGAAAGCAAGCAATTTGATATAGATTATACACATGCAGTGGGCAACTAGGTGGTACAGTAGATACAGTTTCAGGCCTGGAGTCAGGAAGTTCAAATCCAACCTCAGACACTTACTAGCTATGTGACCCTGGGCAAGTCACTTGACCCTGTTTGCCTCAGTTTCCTCATCTGTAAAATGAGATGGAGAAGGAAATGACAAATCACCCCAGTATCTTTGCCAAGAAAACTCCATATGAGGTCATGAAGACATGACTAAAATGACTGAACATAATTGTGTAGTCATGCAAAACATATTTCCATATTAGTCATTTTGTGAAAAAAAGCACAGAGGAAAAAAAAACAAAACAAGAAAAATAAAGTTTAAAAAAAAGGAGTATGCTTCAATCTGCATTTGGATTCCATCAGTTCTTTCTCTGGAAGTAGATAGCATTTTTCTCTGGAAGTAGATAACATTTTTCATCATAAGTCCTTCAGAATTGTCTCAGATCACTGTATTGCTTTGCCTTTAAATGCACTTACATATCTATGATCTCGTTTTATCCTCACTAAGGACCTGTCAGATAAGTGCCATTATATCCATTGTACAAACTCAGAAAAGTTATAACAGATACAAACACCATACAGAGTTGAAATTGGAACCCAGACCTCCAGAGTACCTGGGTCCAATGCTTTTCCCAGGGGGTCTACATGGTCTTCAATAAGCAGTCAGCCTTGCTAGTATCAGGTCCAGTTCCTTTGCCTATCACTTCTATGCAAAAATATCATTCTCTCTTAACAGAGTAGTCAGTTTGTCCTCATTCACAGTTGATCATCAGATAGTATTGCTGTTACTTTACACTGTTCTGGTTCTGCTCATTTCGCTTTGCATCAGTTCATATAAACCCAGGTTTTTCTGAGAGAATTCTGCTCATCATTTCTTACAGCACAATAGTACTTCATCACAAACATATACCACAACTTGTTCAGCCAATTGACTGGCAACCCCTCAATTCCCAATTCTTTGCCACCACAAAAAAGAACTGCTATATTGTTGCACAAATAGGTCCATTTCCCTTTTTTTCTTTGTTTTTTTTTTTTAATCTGTTTGGGCAGTGGCATTTTCAGAATGTTGTAACTCAAAGTCTTCGGTAACAAAAGGTCTTTATCAATCACATTATCAAACCTGTTGAACTCTTCAGAATCATCCTGCCCTCATGAAGCTCTCAAACTGAGACAGAGAGATACAGGTACGAAAAGATAATATAGATAGCAGAATAAAAACCTTAACCAAAACTCCAAATGTTTGCACACAGGGAAAAAAACCGTAAAATGTGTCCTAAAATAAAAACAAACTTAAGTCACTCCTCTTCCAGGAAGTCCTTCTTGATACTAAAATTACATCCCTATTTCTTGAATTTCATTTGGATTTAGAGTTAGAGCCTCTGAATTCTAACACAAACTCTGACACTTAATACTTGAGTTGGGACAATACTCTGGGCTTCCTCTTTCTGACCTGTAAAATGAGTGAGTGAAGCTAGATGACCTCTGAGGCTCCTTAGAGTTCTGAACCTATGAGCTTTAATCTCTGTTTCACGAACTTAACATGACTTGATTCCCCATTGTTTGGCTTCTCAGATACGTGAGGATTTTCTTCTCGCTGAGCATTCATTTATTCGTTCAACAAGTATTTTTAAATGGTTATTCAGTGCCAAGCACTGAAGATACAAAAACAAAAAATGAAATAGTCCCTACCTTCAAATAACTTACATTCCATTGGTGAAGGATAACAACATGAACACAGGTTAGGAAATGCAAAGTATGTTGAAAATAGTTTTTGAAAAACAGTTTTGAAAGTAGTTGAAAAAACTATTTTCTTTGTATACAAAATATATAAAAAGTAGTTTTGGGGAGAGGGTACAAGCAATGGGGCAAGGGAAATCAGTATAGACAACTATAATGATTTGAGGGAAACTTGGGTTACAATCAGACAGAGGTGAATGAGTTACAGCCTGAGCAAAGACATGGAGACAGGAAATAAAACAGACTGTGAACTCCTCTAAGGCAAAAAGTATCTCTTCTTTACTTTGTGTCATCCCCACAGCACTGAGCAAAGTACTGGACATGTGTCGTTGTTTCATCTTCGATTTTTTTTTTAAATATGGTATGCTTCATGATTTTGCGTGTCATCCTTGTGCAGGGGCCATGCTAATCTTCCCTGTATCATTCCAATTTTAGTATATGTGCTGCCAAAGCAATCACTTGGTCTTCGATTTTGAAAAAACCAGTGACATCACAACATTGGGTAAGGTGTGTTTGGCTGCGACTGACCAGACCAACACAAGTTCAGAAGGTACTACCACAGGTTGGGTATAAGTGGTCCATTAGA